GTTGAGAACCGCTCCCGGTATTTTATATAACTAGGTCAAATAACTTTATCAATCTTCTCCCTGCACTTGGTTCGATCTCGGTTCCATCCCTGGCGATTTTCATCTCCTTGTTCGCGTTCCAAGGGTTCCGGAGGCCTCTTGTGCGGTGGAAAGGGAGACGTCGCCAGCACAACCAGTCTACACTGAATGACCTACCAAAAGACTGATTGTCATCGTCTTTCCCTTTGTTCTCTAGTTGGCCAGGCCCATCTTCCTTTTCCGAAGTTATGTCGTCTGTGCGATCGATTTCCCAGAATATAGAGCCCCGAGCTGGATCGTCCACTACAGAGCCCGCCGGTGCCGTTTGCGTGCGAGGCGTAGCCGTGATTATAAGAAATTCGGAAGGCGTCGTTGAACTGGTTTTTGGGGGGTTTCCCTCAGTGCTGCTTGGTTCGCCAGTGGGGATAGGGGAGGCCATCCGGCCATAGCCGAAATATTCTCCAGATTTATTCGCGGAAAATACCAGATATACAGCCGCTGAAGTCTGTTACCAGAAAAAGGGGGAAAAAAGATCAGTTAGTAACATTTCACTTCTGGCTTGTAAAATTATATCAACCATCGTGATCCACCCATTCGAATCCGACTGCCTTTGGCAGTAATTCCTATCATATGGGTAGAGTAGTTTATCCCACCTCATACGCATGGTTCAGAACAGCCTCGTTATGTCTCTGCGTGGCCCATACCCCACTCACTCTGCTTCGCTCAAGATCTTCGATAGTCAGGCTTTTAACTATAAAATACCGTTCAGGATGTCTCACATCTGGGCGTGGAAGACCGTGACCCTTGGAGAAATGGTTCAGAATATGTTCTCCGCGCGACTCGGCAACCTCATTTTCATCAGTAACAGTACTCGAAATCGTCGGAAGTGGTGGTGACAATGCCATTCTATTGTTAATCTCAGAAGCAGCGCCCCTACGCAGCTTGCAAACCAATTTAATGCCCTGGAACCTTGAATCATGGAACCTTGTCACTGCAGAGACGCAAGCCGCTTCTGTCTTATAATTCACAAACGCACATTTGCTATTTGAGATAAGGAATACACTTTCAATTTCTTCTGTAGCACCTTGAGAAAAGTGATCCTTGAGATCAACAATGCTTGCGCGAGACGGGAGATTCCCAACCCATAAGGCGAACCCAGACTGTTTTGGCTTCCTCGGCGGTCCTATGGGGGTTGGTGGCACGTGGGGAAAAATGGGCAGTTTTAGTTCCCCCCCTAGGTATCAAACATGAGAAGGATTCTGTGGAGTTGATGTTTCACGCATATTCCTCTTAAACTGCACACCGCCGGCGGGGGGAGGGGGGACAGGGCACATAACTAACCTGTTGTTCTGTTTCTTATCGACTGGATGACTTTTCCAGCACGATTGCCTGACACTGAGCCATCGACTATAGTATAGCAGGCGGTCGACTCCCTGGCCGGCCCCAAGGACCTGGCCTGGTGTGGTTGTTCATGCGTAATACGGGCGTAGTCCGGGGGCTCAATGTTATTGTTACTCCGCACGCGTGGGCCTATTGGTATGGGTTGGTGGTTGTATGGCATGGCTTCGGGTGGAAAATGCTGCCAACTTGGCCCTTGATGGAAGAGTGCCCCGTAGTATGTAGGTTGGGGGAAGTGGAGAGCAGCGTGATAAAACAGGGCCTGCGTGGAGGAGGTCATCTGATTTGTGAAGACGCCAGGCATTGAGGGATAATTGAAAGTTGCATCATATCGGCGACAATTCCATGTATCGTGTGCCTGAAGAGATGCGTGTCCTGGAATCTGAAAAGGTGAGGAAAATTGTGTAAATGCCGGTGGTATTGGACAGTAAGCGTGCTGAAGAGGTAAACGGGCAATACTAGATGTCGATGGCATTCCAACTACAACGGACCCAGGAGGAGGCCGTTCTTGGTCCGCTCTAGACTGGGTAGTGGAAGTTTGCGGCATCCCTATGGCTCTAGAGGAATAAAGCAGTCCTCGTCAACAATAGCCAGGGTTCGTTGTTCTCTTGGTTTAACAAAAATAAGCTCTGGGAACTTTCAATGGGATGGTGCCTATTTATTAACTCACTTGGCGCATTTAGAGCCCTCCGATCGTCTTCTTCTCGGATTCCTTTTCTACAGGAAATATAACATATGTTGTTATCGGCAAGGTACAAATTGCAACAGTAAAGAACAATACTGCTCTCGCTATTGGACCAGTACAAAAAATTCGAAGCAGAAGCTAAAACGACGTTATCCCAAGGTATATAGAGAGATACTAGGATGATCGAGGACTTTCTGGAAAATAGCCTAGGTATAGGGGAAGAAGAGATGCTTAATGGGAGGAGGACACGCGAAGCAGAAGAATAAGCTAGACACCGAAAACTAACAAGAAAGGAAGTCTGTGCCTCTCCGCTAACCTCCCCCCAGCGATTCTGGCGGAGAAAGGCCACAGACAGGTATAAAAATTAATACCAGGGAGAGGTTCCCCAGAGCGGGCCAGGGCACCGGACGGCTGAAGAGATAGATTGAGTAGCGTCACTGAGTCGTCTAGACCCTGCAAAGCTGAGCCTGGATGGACAATCTGCAGTTGTCAATGCACAGGTCCAGCAACACGTCGAGCTTTATCATTGCGACCTTTTGGCTCTCGGGCAACTCCAATTGCGGATCGGTCCGTTCGATTGAGACAGTTCTTCCTGTGTGTGCCCTTGCTTGACCATTGCAGTATGCGTTATTGTATACTGCGGGCACATTCTCAATTTGTAGGAGAATATCAAATTGGGGATAAGTTTAGTCCTGGTCCGTAGAATAATACTAAATCAATTAATGAGTCGTCGTGGCTAGGGGAGTGGCGGGGGAAACCAGCGGGCAAATACCCATGTTTGGTTTGTGAATTCCTTTTTCCTAATCAAGCCAGGCGCAAGACATACATAGGATACCTGTACAGCCCAGAAGCCAGAAGCAGGGAACAAAGAGGCAAAAATCCAAGTTTATGCCTACCCGTAGCTGCGAGCTGGTGGTGAGTGGCAAAATATGATCTGCGATGTGACTGGTTTGCAAGCAGGGAGAAGTTTAGGTGGTTATTTAAGCTTGGTTTGTATGCAGGAGTTTACTTTGCAAACAATGTTCAACAACACAGTTCAAATTATTAGTTCAGTGGATCCCTACTTTAGCAACACGGGGATAGTGTCATTGGCTCCTGCTTTAACGGAGTGCTATACCGCCTCCAGGAGCCTGAACTGGCGCTTCTCTAGTGGCCAAGAATGAAATACCTTGACGGAGAATATCACGGGCCTTATGGATCAGGAACTTCTACCCTTGCCTCTGATCAGGATCTATCGGCCTTATTCCCCCCGACCTTCCTCCTCACTAACAGGAATAAGTAGGGGGTGACGAACCGTGTTAAGACCCTGGCCTCCGCTCCAACGCCAATGAGTAAGAGCACTACCAAATTCACAGTGCCAGAATCAAATCGTATTATCAATAAGTATTGTATCATTGAGGTATCATGCAATATCAAACGTACACAAAAGTGCAATTTCCGACCCAGCAGAAAAATAAATATAGAGGGAATCCAAAATACATTCGCAGCCCAGAAGGGCATAGTAATACCGGTTGAAAAAATAGGGTAACAATGAAGACAGGGAACGGCTAGAGTGGGGGTGCATTATTCGACAACAGTAAGGGGAGTTGCCATTGTATAAAAGGTGGCCTTGGGGTGCAAGAGACCAAGAAAAGGAGAAAAAAAAAAAAAAAAAAAAAAAAAAAAAAGAATTAAGGCTAGATGAGTACCTCTGGTCTTTCCTGACAAAGCCGCCGAGACCCGGTGCGCGGTGTTCGTTCATAGATTTGAAATATATATATATCATTATTATATTCGTCGTCAAAATACGGCTTCATACCCCCCGTTTATACAGTGAGAGAGCGACAGTGGCTTAGTCACGTTGAAAGGAGGACGTCTAAGCTCCCAACTCCGGCACCATCACGCGGGTTATATAGGTAGGTGGTAGATCCAAAGAACCATCGGTAGGAGTCAATAATAGGAAATGCCACTCGCGGAACCTATCGGTCTGACCCCAATGCAGCCACCTTTCCCGCAAATCGAGCTCCAGCGCTGCCCCGCTTCCGCAGCCTCTCCTTCTCCTTGTTGTCCAGCCCTGAAAGCGGACGAGAGCCAGGTATTGACGTTGATATGTTCTCGCCATTGGACGAGGGATTGCCACTGTGAATCAGGGGCAGGGCGCTGACGGTGTCAGTTCCCGGATTCCCCACTGATGAAGCAAGCGGTCTTGATTGGACGGTAAAACCTCCCCTTGACTTAGCTGTCCGTTGGTTTACATACAGTTGGGCTGCGGGTGATAGAGGAATGGTTGGCATTTCATATGGAATCTCTGCCCCATTTTGTACAAGCAATTCCGCAATTGGGAATGGTACATGAGCTGAAGGAGGTACGGTAGTAGACCTGCCGTCCACAACCGTTGTTTGTCCTAATGAACTGGGAGCTGCGGGGTCGGCAGCCGCAAGAGCCAGGAACACCGGGTGGGTATTCCGAGACCGGTCTCTTATATTGAGATTGGCGCGAAGAGCGATCCCATACAATACACCTTGAATGTCATTCCTTTTGATAGATGCCAGAAGAGTCTCTTCAGCTGTAGAGTAGCGGGAGAGGGTGGCTAAAAAAGGCTGTACGTATGCTCTGTCGCTATATTTTGCTGTGATGAACTTCAGTCGTTGTTCTCTAGTCGATTGAGCAGTGGGCTTGAGTGGTGGGTCTAGCCGAGACTCCCAAATCATATTGCTAACCCGATTTCCAACTTGTAGGAGTATCTCGACGATGTCGTTAGAAAATGAATGAATGTCAAGAGTGAGGGAGCGAATTTTTGAAATATGGGTGCCCAATGACCGATGAATCCCGCTGCACTCAATACACAGAACGATGCCAAGATTGATTGACACCCATTCCACTTTAGACAGAGATCCGCAATCCGCACACCAGCAATTCCCTTGGTCAGCATCACGGATTGTTTGTAAAAGCTTCGACGGATTCTCTTCATAACTATTGCTATCGCTCCGAACGTAGCTGGGTCGAGCGCCAACTGTCGTGCGGCGATTAACACCGGAAGAGGAAGGATTGGAATATGTATGTTGAGCGGAGTGGGAGGTCTTCCCCGTTAGAACGGAGCCAATACCACGGCGAATGGCACCATCCGTTATCGGTTGTTGAAGGGCAGCAGGTGGAAGACCTCTGCCCTCCACAGCGCTTTGCAACGCATTGTTTATAGCGACAATCCAGGCATTCATGTCTTCTTCTGACGTCGCTTGATATATCCTCTTATACTGGGGAGTTATGACCTCGAAACAAAAGCGCCTTTCAGCATTGCGGGCTTCTCGGACAGACGCCATCCGTAAATCGATTGGGTCCATGTGTAAGTCCAGTTTTTGCTTCCAATTGCTGTACTCTGAAAGTTTTCCTTGGTCAAGGACTATCCAAAACCTGTCATACGACAATTAGTGATTGTTTGACATATTACGAGATAAAATTTCAGGCTTCCACAGCCTTCACAATCATATAAACAGCCGAACTTGGAAGCAAGTGCGAGCAACATACTTATGCCAGGCTTGTTTGTTTATCCCCTTTGGGTCTATGTGAGAGCCGGGGCGTGATAAAGCCCATAAAAGACCCTCCTTTCGATGTTGAAATTCCTGCATATCGGGAATCGAACCGGACAAGTCACGAGTCTCTAGGTCCCGAATACCTTTGAATCTATTTGATCCTGCTGGTGTAGATGAAGATCCGACGGGCGTTTCAATGAGAACAGGAGGATTCAGTGACGAAGAAAGTCCCGAATTGCCACTAACAACTGTTTTCAGTTGTGAACCTGTACTATCTGCACGTCCAAGTTCAGAGTCGGATTGATGAGAAAGATTGGAGATTCCCTGTCCCACAGCAGGAGCGCCAGAGGCTGGTACCGATCCCGGTTCAATGTACTTCTTTGTACTCGTTTCCAAGGCTCTTCGCTTCTCTTCCCTCTCCGTGCGCTGAAACTGAAATTCTTTATCGGCTTCGGATACCTCATCTATAAGCGCCTGGAGCTGAGGGACCATCTCCTCAATCCTCTTCGCTGCAGCCAGATAGTTCTTTGCTTGTGTATCAGCATACTTTGTCAGGTGAGATAGCACTTCCTGTTCCTTCCGTCCACCATGAAGGTCCTGCATGAATGATGAATAGTCGAAACGTTTCAACTCAAAATTCCTTCGTTTCGTTTGGTATTTCGAGTCGCTTTCTGCCCGTTTTTTCTCTTTCAAAGAATCTTGCCTCTGACCCAGGTACCGTCCCACGTAAGCATAGTAATCCCTACTTTCTTCTTCGAAATCCTTCTTCTTTGATTCCGCTTGCTTGATGTCATGGTTGTATAACTTGGAGAGCGGATCAATGATGAGTTTCTGGAGGTGTATCGTATTCTGTTGTTCGTAATTCAGAATTTCTCGAGCGATTCGGTCAAAGTAATGCTCCAATGCAGGTTGAATAGCATTGGAATTAGACGGAGATGCATCATTGAGCGCTGTGATAAACGCACTAACAGAATCATTACACGCGATTTGGGCTTGATACGCAGCCTCGGCCCTTTTCAAAACCTTCTTCATCTTGGCCCGCATATTACCTGTTTTTTGTTCCAAAGCCTTCATTGTAGCACGAAACAGCGGCCCATCTTCAACTGCACTCATGTCCTCCCCTGGCCGCTGGCATGTTACGTCCAACTTAACAGAGCTCTGCGGTTGGATAGGAGGTTGGGATGGTAGCTTATCCCCAATCTCAGGAGGGGTTGGAGGATGCTGGAGATCACCAATAGCTTCGGTGTCGCTCATTCGGGAGTGTACGGACTGGGAGGAAGCCACGCGATAGCGAGGAGGTACAGTCAGGTCGAATCCAGGAGAAGGAATCTGAGGACTAGACGAAGGTCTAGGTACGTTTTGGACCCAGAAAGAAAATGTTGCAAGCGTGTTGAGCCGGTTTGTTCTTTGATCGTAGTCAAGGAAACTACAGCAGTTGCGCCAACCGCCACCTCTATCCTCTGCTTGTCTGGGAGGCTTCCATTTCCATGACCAGTCAAATTGAATTGACGGATCCCCTGAGGTCGAAAAATTCCCCACGTGTTTGACGTTGGAGTTATTCTGTAAATTGGGGTTGGCGTGGAATTCCCGGGTGACTAGGTTATCCAGATCTCTTGAATTTGATGCGTGGGCGAATGTAAGGCCGGTAAGAACCGTATCGATGGTCTCGGGTAGACAAGTCGCCACACCGTTGGTTGTCGAAGGCGCAAGCTGCCTCGCCTGTCCCTGCCGAACGTAAAAGGTGAAGCAAAAATTCAACTCGTCATCATTATACAGTTTTAGAAGAAAGGAGGGCAATCCAGTAGATGGTGACTCGGGGTCCTACAATCGCCAACCAGTGTTTAGCATTTTTTCATTCTGCGAAATAGAGGAGTGGGGGGGGAGGAGGGGAAGGATAGGGTAAGTAAAATTTACCTGGATGTATTCAATGGGTCGATCGTCCCCCGAGTCCCTTTTAGGAATAACCTTCGTCGAGGGGAATGAATTCGTTGTGATAGTCAGGAGAACATTTCCACGAGAGTTGCTGATTATGACAGACGCAATGGCGACTACAGCGGGAGACCAGAAATGGAGTCAATACGTCGGATTGGAGGGGAAATACTGGGAGGCCATCGAGACTTACGCCTTGTTTGGTCTTTGAGATAAAGCGTCCCCAGTTCATCTGGCCTGCTGCTTACATTTCCCATTGTTAACAAGGTATGAAACAAATGCCATTCAACCAAAATTTGTTGCTTCGATCGCAGCGGTGGGGCCGGTCATCTAACAGCAGAGAAAGTCGACCTGGCAAGGCCAGAAGGGCTTCTGATCACGCGGGTGAGATTGGTTGTGTCATCAGTTGAGTGAAGGCATGTGGCGATTGAATTCATAGAAGATATGTGTGTGCAGCGTGGGTTGAAAAGAGTAGTTAGCAGGAGAGCATGTTTCATGGCTGGTGGTTGATAGTAGTGGTAGTTACGTGGTAGCGGTGATGGTGATGATATCCATTGTTACCTAGGTTAGAGTTCCTGCCACAACCCTAACGTAAAATGTGTTGGTGATTACTAAACCTAGCCTAGTCACGTGCCACCGCAACCTGTTGGTGATTACTACATCTACCCTAATCACGTGCCACCCACCTTATATATAGTTTCACCTTAGATTACAGATAATAAGTTTAATAACATTATTCTTTAACAGGTTATGAAGCCCTTCTATGAATAACCACTGATAATGTATTAATTACATCTTCACATATCATTGAACATGTTCTTTGAACCTATAATTAATTTAAAATTCAGTAGAACATCAGATTTGATGAAGAAATACATATTAACATATAGAAAATAAAATTCAGAAGTGCTGAAAGTGTAATAGAGAATAACAGTTAACTTGATAATATTTACAATAAATAACTCTGATAATTATTTTACAGATCTGATTGTTTAATACATTATTAAAATATTGAATTATAAGAATTGTAATAAGCTACACTTGATCAATTATATAGACTATTTCATTATACTTCACAGATTCTGCTGAAAGCTCTGATTCTTGATTGCTGATTCTGAGTCAAAAAGCTCTGATTCTTAGTTGCCAATTCTCAGTCAAAAACTCATGAAATTTCTATTCTTTCACCCTGAAGCTTCACTATGTATATGTATAAATATTCACTTCAATCACTGATTTCTGCATCTTCTCTTTCTTTTCTTCTCTAATATTTTTCATGTTGTATTATAAGATCTATATATTATACTAATCTATTCAGTGTAGATGCTCTTACACTTGAAAAATGTTCATCATCTTCTTATTAGAAATGATTACTCACTGAGTGTGATGAGCTGCGCCCGATCAATTATATAGACTATTTCATTACACTTCACAGATTCTGCTGAAAGGTTCAATTCTCAGTCACTGATTCTCAGTCAAAAAGCTTCAATTCTCAGTCATCAATTCTCAGTTAAAAACTCATGAAATTTCTATTCTTTCATCTCAAAGCTTTATTATATATATATATAAATATTCATTCTGATCACTGATATCTGTATCTTCTCTTTCTTTTCTTATTTAATGTTTTTCACTTTGTATTATAAGATCTATATATATACTGATTTATTTAGTGTAGATCTCTTATACTTGAAAAATAATCATCATCTTCTTATTAGAAATGATTACTCACTGAGATATTCAAATATGTAATAACATGTAAGAAATAGAGAGATAAATAATCAGTTAAGCAAATACTGAGTTCTCAGATAAAAGCTTACTCATCAGTTATTCTAACTCTGTAATAAGATCTTATAAAGAGAATATGATTTTATAAAAAGAATATAAGTGAAAGATCTGAGAGTTCTGATACAGATATATAAAATATTTATACAATTATATATTCAATGAATAATACAGCTATATCTACTAATAATATGAGAGAACTCTTAAATATGAGTATAAATACAGTATCACAGTGACTCTGAGCAATGTTGAAATTACAACAGTAATAGATAACTGATATATATGTGACTCAACAAGATTAATATAAGAAAATTTTTTAATTATCTCAACTAGAAATCTCTGTATAAGTAATTTCAACACTGACTGAATCAGATATAAATATACAAGTACTGAAGAAATGTTTAGATAGTTCTATCTATTTTAATACTTCTAATCTCACTCTCTACTTATCATGAAGATTGAAAATGCTTGTGAAACTAAGTATAGATGAAGATATCATCAGTTCATTAATTAATTAAAATTAATATATCACTGAATAATTGAAGAATTATATAAGACAGAAGTTTCATTTGTGAATAAAAGTATGTGAATCAGTATTATAAATATCTGATAATATTATTAAATATCTTAATATTCTGTTCTGAGATACTGCTATATAACAGAAAGTATTAGATTAATTATAGAGTATCTGACAGAGAAATACTTCTCTTATAACATTTATTCCTGACTTTGATACTAAGATTCTAGAAGCAGGTAATCAATCTTGAGAGAATTAAATAAAGATTAGTATGCTTAAGAAGATATTAACTCTTAAACTCTTATAAGCTCTTATAAGTGTAGATAAAGACTTAACTTATAAAGACTTCTGTATACAACTTCAGATATTAAATGACTGTCTGATCAAGCTCAAGAGTATATAGCCCCGGTGGCTGAATGGTTAATGCGGCCACCCGGTAGCGCCTTGGCATGGGAAACCAAGGCGTGTGGGTTCGAAACCCGCAGGGGATACATTAAATCCGGAACCCAAGCACCTCAGGTTCCTAATAAATACAGAGGTGTACAAATCGCTCCAATAAATCGCTCTATGTTCCTGGGCTGGGAAGTTATTATTGCATGTATCTAATTGTCACTCCTTTGTATTTCCTATGTTCTTGTTATCTTGGCGTGGTCTCAACACCTGTATTTCCTCCTGTATAACCAACACTTGGCCTGTATTTAACATCATGCAAGGACTCATCATAAGCTCCGCTTGCATATGAGTATAATGGAAGAATAATAATAATAATAATAATCAAGAGTATATAAAACAGCAATAGAAGATATTATATCTCAGATACTTATACATGTGCACTGAAGAATGACAATGCAGATATTATGAATTGAGTGAACTTAAATATCTATATATAAACAAGAGTCTCTATCATCTGAATAAATTTCTGAGTTTCTGAGATTGCTCTTAAAGAAGCTACTGATTGACATTAATAAGAGATATACATTAATTATAACTGATCAGAATATATTACTTTCAACTGTTAATCAGTCTATATATCTTCTTATTCAAAAGAAAGATTAATACTGATAGTCTGTGTCAATTATATTACACTGAAGAAAGACTTAAAAGATAACTACAAGAATGCTCTGATGAAACAGAAAAATGATTAACTTCTATTCAAATTTATAAACAGAAGCTTGAAGAGATCAGATAATAATAATTTGAAAAGAAAATAATAATAAATATCATTATTATATCTACTGTGATTGATAACATGTATAATATGAAAGTTATGATAGACAGTGATATATATCACAATATAATGATTAAATCTTCAGTTATAAGATATTATAATCTTCAGTGTATTCTCTTATTAAAACTCTGACTTCTTGCAGAATTTGATAATTCAAAAGACATTCACACTCATTACATGATGAAACTAAACATAGATATTGAAGAACATCAATATGAAGATACTTATGCATATAAAGTTAATAATCTTGATTATAATCTTATACTAGAACTTGTCTGACTATCAGAATAAGACATCTTATTAAATGCTTAAAACAGAAGCTTAATATTTTCTACTTATAATAGAATTCATGAAGATAATATTTATAAGACTATAAACTCTACACAGATCTCTGTCAATACTTATAAAATGCTCTCAAAATAAAGTTATTAATAAAACTACAGACAAAGTCACTGATAGTATAATTATATAGTAATCTATTTCATCAGTCTGACTGATATTAAGAAAGCTCTAGAAAAGTTATTCTATGCTATAATAACAGATTCTCATACAAAACTCTCTTAATAATATTGTGAATATCTAGATATCTTCTGATAAAATAATATTAAAAATATATTTCTCTTATAAGATTCAAAAGTGAATCACAGTATCAAGTTAGAAAAGAAAAATGAGAAGAACTCTGAGTCACTATAAGACTCTCTTTATAATATATCTCAAGATGAACTTCTTTATAAGAGGCCTACGCCGAATAGATTGATATGATATTAATAGGTCTTATATAACAAAGAGAAAAACATTAGAGAAGGAAAGAAAGAGAAAGTGTAGAAATCAGTGATTGAAGTGGATATTTATATGTGTATGTGATGATGTATGCAGTGGAGCTTCAGGGCGGAAGAATCTATACGTGTTCGTGGCGGCCGAGGATTGGTGATTGAGAATGGCTGAGAATCGGAGCGTACGCATTCGAGAATGCAGTGGTTGGAATCTGTGGAGTGTAACGGAATAGTCTATATGATTGATCGGGCGCAGCCCGCCACATTCTTCTTCTTTGAAAGACACTCAATGATCTGTTGAATAAGAAATTCATATATATTAGTAACTCTTCTACTACAGCTTTTATTCTCTTTGTAAAGAAATTAGATAAAGAACTCTGATTCTGTGTGAAATATTAAGATCTGAGCAGATTAATAAAGAAAGATTGTTATTCTCTACCTCTCATCAATAAAACTCTAGCATATATTAGATAAGCTTAATAATTTATAAAGCTAGATATTATTACTGCATTTTATAAAATTTATATCACTAAAGAAGATGAATAGCTTATAGTATTCTGAACATATTATAATCTCTTTAAATAAGTAATTATACTCTTTGAAGTGACTAACACTCTCAGTATATTTCAGAAGTATATTAACTGAGCACTCTGAGATTTTCTTAATAAGTTTATATCTGTATATTTAGATAACATTCTCATCTTCACTAATGAATTCAGAAAGAAACATCAGAAATATATTCAGAGAGTATTATAATAATTATAAGAAGCAGAACTATTAATAGATATTAATAAGTCTGATTTTAAAGTCAAGAGTATAAAATATCTAGATTTTATTATAGAAGCTGATAAGAGAATTTAAATAAATTCTGAGAAGATCTCTGTCATTCTTGAATAAGAAGCTTTATGTACTGTGAAAGATATATAAAGCTTTATCAGATTTGTTAACTTCTATTAATAA